CATTTATTATTGTAAGTCCCCTCAACCACTGCTTGAGAACAAGGATGTAATGAGCATTTAATAAATAAAAATATTTCCTTTATACTTATTGTTAAATGACTTAAGCACCTCTTTGTTTAGAACAGTGGTTCTTAACCTTGGTTACTCAGGTGTTTTTGAACTGCAACTCCCAGAAACCCCAGCCAGCACGGCTGGTGGCGAAGTTTTCTGGGAGTTGCAGTCCGAAAACACCTGAGTAACCCAAGGTTAAGAACCACTGGTTTAGAACACTACTCTGCTTCTGTTGAAAGAGTAGGATAGCAACGGTTGTTGAATTTCATGTATTTAAAAGTTGTCTTTCTCCCATATAGGCTCCTAAGGCAATTTACAATAAGTTAAAATAATAAAGAACAGATTAAAACATTCTGATGTCACTAAAAGAATTTAAAAAACATTATCCAAATGCCAGTTTAAATAAGAACAGGCCTGAAGACCAAAGATTTTTCAGAACAGTGCAGTTTTAGCTTCCCATCAGAAGCTCAAAAAAGATGGAGCCAGCCCCACCTTTCTTGGAAATGAGTTCAGGATTATTGCTGCACAGAAAGCACCTTGTGTGTCTACCAGCATATCACTGGTGGTGTCCATAACAGGGTGTTTGCTGAAGATCTAACACTGTGTACAATACAGCTGAAGAAGGCAGTCCTTCAAATTAGGCTTTTATAGATCAAAACTAGCACCTTGAATCGAGTTCAAAAGAAACTGGAACCTGGTACAATTGGTTCAAGAGCAATGTTAAGTACTGTAGTATCTAAAGCATACATCAGATAACAGTCTGGCCACTGTATTTTGCACCAGCTGTAGCCTCTGAACCATTTTTCAAGGGCAATGCCATGTAGAGCACCTGACAGAAGTCAAACAAGCATGTAATTAAAACAGGGATCACTGTGGCTAAATCTGGCTTCCCTAGACAGTTGGCAGATCAGATGAAATTGGGCAAAGGCACTTTTGGCCACAGTGGATATCTGGCTTTCCAGGAACAATGCTTACATCCAAGAGTCCTTTGAAAGAGAATAGCTCAGTTCAAAACAGGCTGCAACCACAGACTCAGACTGGGGTTTTTGCCGCCCAACAGAACTTCTGTCTTGCCTGGATTGAGCCTCAGGTTGTCCAGACACAACAAATCCATAAGTGCATCAAGACAGCAAGTCAGAACCTTCACAGCCTCTTTGCCATTTGTAGAAAAAGGGGTATTCTGTTGCATATCTTCAGTATAGTAGTGAGATCTGGGCCCAGAACTCCGATGTCTTCTCCCTGCAGCTTCATTATAAATGTTAGAAGGGGGGGAGTGATAGACATAAAACCTTGAGAAATCCTGTAGCCCAATAGTCCAAAAGCATGTATTAATAGTATTGAATGCTGCAGAACTTTCTATCCAGTTCCCAGAATCCACAAAGGCAACCAAGGCTGTTGCTGTCCCAAAGCAAGGCCTGAATCCAGACTAGAATGAATCAGTATGATGTTTCCTTTACCACATCCCTTGCCAAAATTCAGTTTATTTACTTCGTCCCTTACTGATGACCTGGGATTACTAATTCACTGAAGGCAAAAATAGCAGAGCAATTCTGGTCATTAATCGTGCTACTTATTCTTGGAAGATGCTTTTGGGCTTAAGTTTTCCAGTGCTGCATACATACTTCATTCATCTTCTGGTTCCTAGCTCATCTGCTCATCTCTGAGTTAATGATATGATAATGTACGTTGTACCAAGATTAAATAGGCACAATTGCCAGCATGAAAAGCTTCATCAGGAGGACTTTAAACTGAATTGGAAGTGGGACACAGATGCAGACTGATAGGTAAAATCTGATGAAGGCTTGTGCACAGTAAGAGGAACAGAGAAAGCAGCTCTAATCAGGCCCAATAACAGTAAAATCGCATGAAGGAAAGCAAGCCACAAATCACACAATCTCCGACGCCTATAAACAAATGCTAGGAGTGTAGGAAACAAACAAGAAGAATTGGAAATCTTAGTTCAAGAAGGTAAATATGACTTGATAAGTATAACTGAACTGTTGGGGAAACTCCCATGATTGGAGTACAACAACTGAAGGATATACACTGATCAAAAAGAAGAGAAGATAACCAATCAAGGGTGAAAGCTTTGAAAAACAAATTGCAAGAATTTCAAAGAGACATGATGGAGGACTAATAGGAGCTTTCGGTTATCCTGATATCTGTTGGGAGGCAAATTCTGCCTAACATGGCCATTTCAAGAAATTCCTGGGGAGGGGGGGTTGGCTAATTTTTTTCCTTAAAAAAAATGGAAGAAGTGCCTAGGGGATTAGCTATTCTGGACTTGATTCTAACTGATAGAGATGGTGGAAGAAGTGGCACTAAGGGGAACTCGGGAAAAGTGACCATTTAAATCAGCAACATGATTTTTGTTTGCAGAGAAGCTCATCTCTGATACTCTAAGAGGTTTATTCTGCCCTCCCCTGGCATGAAGCAATTCTGTCTAGAAATACATGCCAGCATAGAAAACTACATATAAGCTACTGTTGTGCAATCTATACATAGATTGCACAACAATAGCTTATATGTTGCTGATTTAAATAGGGCAGACAGCAGCTGAGCTGTAGACCTGCAGTCAAGTTAGGCCTTCTCCCTGTGGCCGATATACACCTCTCTTTGGTACTATTGCTAGACTAACCTTTGTGATCAGCCCCTCCTTGTCTTCTGCTAGCATAAACATGGATGCAGAGGCCGTCTGTCTTTAATCCTGCAAAGCCCACACATTGCTAATCACTCAAAGTAGAACTAACAGCTTCCATAGATGCTTGCTCGGGGTTCAATATGATTCTATTTCTGTCCAATCTCCTCTTGTCTTTCCTACCCTTAGGGCATTTCTAATTCCATGTATGCTCCACAGCTTTCTATAATGTAGAATTAATAAGCCTTTTGCATAGCAGGGTCTTTGATCATTCATCTTACTTTTTCTCTTTCTTTTTAATTAAAATTACAGGTAACATCCTTGCCTATACCTGGAGACTGTGTAATTCTTATGCGTTTTTCAGCACTATTATTGCAATTGTTATAGTTCTCTACATGCTGTAGGATGACTTTTATTCTTTGCATTTATGGACCTACTCTCTCTTTTTCCATGTGTCCTATCAGACATAGAGAAGGGGAGGGCTGGCACAGAAAGAGAACTATACAAATCTATGCTACCCATCTTCCCCACTGTTGGTTTTGCTCTGCTTTCCATTGGCTGAACCTTACTGACTTTTCCTAAGATTGCTTTTCAATCACCCATGAACGGCCTTTGGCAGCCCACATGCTATAGGAAGAGGAGGAATGGCATACCAGCCCACTCACTCAATTGCAGAGTTATATACATTGGCCTACTTGTAGTTCCTCATTGCTTACGGTGGCCAGTAGCATTTCACTATGAGATTGATTCAGTCCAGCATGCTGTAATATTTTAAGTGTTCCTCTTTTTAAATTTTCTTTCGCCCAGATGCCTCAACCTCTCCCTTACAAAACTAAATATTTCAAGACTAATTAGGAAAAATTTGTGCAAAGCTCTTAGTTGTATAAAATGTACACATTTCAGGTGCTAACCAGTGCAGGGTATTTCTAGCAATGAGGCATTTGGCTGTCCAAATAAATGAGAGACAATCTGAGGAGCAAACTTGCCTCTCCATAGCAATAACAAATCCAAGTATTAGAAGTATTAGGGAAATCAGCAAGTATTTTATTCCTGCATGAGCCCAAGTATTGAATTTTCAGAATCTAACATTTTGTGTTAGATCAGTGGTCAGGGAACAGGGGTAAATTACCCCAAATGGGGTAAAAATGAAAATCCTGGGGGTAATGAGGATGTGACTCTAGCCCCCTTCCCTCCTCCTCCTCTTCCTCCTCTTCTGCCTGGAGGGGGGTCCCCAGCTGCCCGGTTGCCCCTTCCCGCCCCCTTCTACAGCCCGGCTGCAACCGAGCCATGGCAGATGGCAATGGACCCCAGCCAGCGGTGTAGGGCAGCCGAGGTAGCGGCTGCAGGGCCGTCCATGATGGACGGTGAGGCCAGGGTGAGCGGGTGGAGCGTCCCGACCAGGGGGAGCCTCTCCTTCCAGTGCCTAGAGAGGTGGATCATGGCGGGGGGGGTGCGGCCACAACGGCGGCCCAGGCCAGGCTCAGCCTCCCGGTGCTGGGATGCCCCCGCCGTTCCACACCCTGTCCTCATTCCCGGAAGAGCCCGTTGGGCGGCAGCGGCCTTCGGCACTGCCTCCACACTGGCCGGCTGGATCTGGCAGAGCCTCTTGCCCTGCATGTGGCAGCTGTCGCGGAGCTGCGATGGCGAGGCCCAGGGGAGCTCTGATGCCGAAGCTCACTGCGGCCGCCCCAGCGAGCAGGTACTGGTGCCAGAGAGGGAGGCAGCGTCAGGGGCCCTCGGTGGCAAGCCACCTGCTGCTCTTCGACGGCTGCCCAGGAGCCAGCCACCGGCGGAGAAGAGAAGCCGCCCCCATGGGGCCAAGGACTGAGCACAGCCTTGCAGGCCCAGGCGGCAAGGCTTCGGCGGCGGCGCTCAACTGGCTGAGCATGGCCGAGATCCTTTCAAATCAAGGGGGTAATGTCGACTTATCTAAAATTGGGGGTGGGGTGGGTAAAAGGTAAAAAAGTTCCCTGACCCCTGTGTTAGATCAATTACTTTTGCCTTTGGATTTCCAGTAATGATGAATTACTTGTGCATATCAAGTTTTTAGCACATGTTTACTTTCATAGGCCTCTTCTGGTCCTTGCATGGGAGATTTTGGGGTGACTTTAGGTCATGTTTTCATCCCAGTGAATTCTATTATTGGATGCATGTTTAAGTCTCTTTAGTCAGAAATCCATTTGTATCAGAGTAGATTATATTTATTGGAATTTCAACTGAATGCTAGCTGTGATTGGTGTTGGTGTTAATCGGCCCTTCATATTAGTTGTAAAATTTCTTCTTCACCAATGGTTTATCTGTTTTTTTATAGAAATATAAAGATGTGGAACCAACTTTGAAGATCAAAGAAGTTGATGGTTTGGAGCTTGTGAAGAAGTTCTCTGAAGAAATGGAAAGCATGCTGCGAAGGAAAGTAGAAGCTGTTGAAGTGAGTATTATGTTGCTCCCAAATCCTTTACTAACCCAGAGTAAGAGCAGGAAAGAATCAATGGAAAGAGAGAATGCTCTTAGATAGTGCTTCCAAAACAAACAAACAAAAAACAAAAAATGAAGGATGTTATTGAATCAAAATGTTCTAAGTATGCATCTTGATTTGGGAAAGAGCCATAGCTCAGGATGTATGTGTGTACTTTGCATGCCAAAGATTCCAAATTAAAGATGTGCATTCTAATTAAGAAATATTCAGAATTCTCTTCTGCATATTTCAGGCATGCATATTTATTCATTAAAGTAAATATTTGTGGACACCTGTGTAATTCAATTCCAGCCACAAAGTTTTGTAACTATATATATTAGTTTTTGCTGCACAATTGATTTAGTACTGTAGTCTATACTGCCAATTATACATGGTTATTTGATCCTTATTTAATAAACTGAGTCAGACTGTAGCAGCCTGTTGCCTTCTTTTTGGTTGACTAAGTAGCAGGAAGATCACCTGGCTTTTTTTTTTTTTTTGCTTCTTTTTTTGCAAGTTCTGCTTTTTATAATTTCGCAGGTTACAAAACTTATTTCAGTGTTGCTTCTCTGGTAACATGCATTTTATCCCTATAAATAGTCTGCTTAGGAGCATAAAGAGGCCATTCAAGACACTGTTGGGGCCAGTTCTGAGAAGCTGTGAATATAAGCTGCTACATTTAATTTTGAAGCAGAAAAGATTTGCATAGAATTATGTAATTCTCTGTACTCTTCTCCAATGTCCTTTCTGGGCTCAGCAAGATGAAGGAACTAAGGGGAAAATAGCTACGGTTGTTGTTGTCCCCACCACCTCCAACCCGCCTACTTCATTCTTTTAACTGACATCACAGAAAGTCAACCGGTTAGAGTTTTCTCACCAACCACCCCATCTCCATTTGGAAAAAGCTGGATTTGACATGAAAATACAAAATGGCACAGAACCTCCTTTAGGGGAAGGCTTGCTTAAACAGGGCTTAGTTGGCCTTTTGTTAGGCCTCATTAGGTGAGGGTAAATTTATGGACCTCTTCAACCTGGGTTCTGTTTTCAGGAGCAGTACTCCCTCAATTGTCAGTTGTGGAAACATGTTTAAAATAAATGCCATTGGAATGCAAATACCAGATCTCTTTGCACCTGTAAATGTGGGGAGACACATTATAAAGGAGACCAGATAGCTGGGAAGGAGACATTGTACAACGAAATATGAATTTTATTTATTTTTAACTGTTGTTGTGTTTTCCAAGACACTTTTCTATCACTTCCCATTCCCACTCCTAATATACTTTTTGTGATTCTTTTGTTTTTCGGTGGGTGGAATTATAGCGCTTAGTTGAGGCAGCAGAAGACGCAGATCTGTACCATGAGTTCAACTCGTCCTTGGAGGTAAGTTACAGATTTAATCAAGTGTTTTTGGATACCCCAAGTTCACATCTGGTGCAATGTCAAAGTCTATTTAGATGACGTACACTGCTCATTAGGAACTGAAAGACTGGCCATGTACCATTTTCTGTGGCTGGGTTGGGAACCTGTGGTTCTCCTCAGGTTGGTAGACTACCATTTGCAATAGCTCCAACCAGAATGGCTAATAATCAGGAGTATACCCTACATCTGATAATTGCCTAGTTTTCTGTCAGTTGGTAAACTTGTACAGTGTCTGGCCTGTGTCCTTCAGGCTGCAGAGTGTTTAATGCTTCTCCACTAAAAACAGAAAGAGATTATAATCCCTTCACAAAAAGATTATAATTCCTTCACATTAAAAAAAACAGATTTTGCCTCAATCCTTTCTCTCTACATATAGAACTAAATGTCAGGAATGTTAGTGTGAAGACACATTTATTGATTTGTAGCCACTTCATCCATCTGTATGAGTCTTTTTCTAGTCTAACTCAGTTTTGTCTTCTTTTATTAATAAATCGGTTTTTATCTTTTTGCCACATCAGTGTGCAATTTTATAAAACTGCATGCTATCAGGAATGTTTTTCTTTACCAAATATGCCATTTGGTATGTATTTTACTGGCTGGTACATAATTTGATTTCTTTGCACCTGTTGACTGAAGGTGTGAACTGATTTTGTTGGCAGATATTGTACATGTACTTCTAACAGGGATTTCCAGTTTGTGTTGGCGGTATGGGCTACCACAGATAAATTTATGGACCCCTTCAATCTAAAATTAGTAGCTAATTTGCTGCTACTGTGCTGTGCTGCTACTGAGGAGGAGGAAGGGGAGGAGAAGGAGGAGGGTTTAAAAGGATCTGTTTCATGGAAGATACTTTAAGAATTAACATTCTGAGATCTTAGTCACAGAGGATATTATAGCAACTAACAGTGCTCAAAAAGCCTGCATATTTATTGAATATTGAGATAGTCACTACCACCTCAATAGTACAGAAAGGAAAAGAGGTTTGATTTTTCTTGATTTAGCATATCTTTGCTGCTTCATACAGTAACCTAGTCAATATTTCTTGGTGAAATACAGTCTGGCTTTCAAAATCAGACAAAAAATTCAGAAGGATAGGATTTTAAAGTAATGATAAAATATTACATCAGAGGAAGTAAGGGAAGAGGGTTTTTTTTTCCAGCCAAAGAATAATGTTCAATTAGAGAACAATCCTAGTAAAGGCTGCCAAATTGCATTCAGTTTCTGTTATTTATCCCGCCTGTAAGTACTTTATTAGTTCTTTAATGGAGATGTACAAATGATATTCATTCTAGTTTTCAATTATAGACAAAGGATGTGTTTTCTAGAATTATAAAACAATATGCTTTGCTACAAGTCATCTTTTTACAATTCACAATATGTCAGAGGTGTTTTACCTTGCAGCAATGTATTCTAAAATGAGGTAATTAAATCAGAGTTCTTGCTTAATTAATTCTGTTAATGACATATTTTCCATTAGGACTCAGTAATAAGACATACTGTATCTAAATCACAAGGAGCAAAGTTGCATATGAATGTATCCACTATTTCTCATTTTCAAACTGATTATATCTAAAGATGTTTAGGAGTCCAGGGAGTATGAGACATACATTTTGCCGGAAGTCAGAAGTGGTTGTAGTTTCTCACCCTGCAATCTATAGAATTCTGAGGAAGGCTATGATAAGAACCAGGATTGGGACACATTCTCTGTGCTTTCTGCGCCTTCCTTTGTGCTGTCATAGCTGGAAAATTTGGCCATATTGCAGTCATCAGACATAGAAGCACAGTATCCAGCAGTCCCTCCATCTTTAGACTAGGAATAGGAGAGATTCAGCCCATGGCTTGTGTATAGTTTCAAACCCTTACAAACCATCAGCAAAATTCATAAATAGCACTACGTGGAAAACCTCATTAAAACGAGCATTTTCTGTTTGGTTTTTATGACTTTTTCAGTAATGTAGTTTTGCTACTAAATTTTGGTGATAAGCATCTGGAGTGCAGTCCGTTATGACTTAAGGTCACAGAAATGAGCCCATGACCTGTTGAAGTCAGATAACCCAGAGGTTCATCTTAAGAGTGTCTAAAAATATGTATAGTACCTCATTCACAGCAGCTATCAGTATACCTGATTTTCAAATTATAGCACTTAACAAACTTCCATTACAGCACCTTGCAGCTGCAGACAGCCAGTTAACAAAACTGGCAATTACCAAGGCAGTTCTGTGTTGCCAAAGTAGTCTGGAGGATTGAGATTCAGCTGTATGTTTGATGAATTCATTAGCATAAAATCTAGAGGAATATAGAATGAGTCTGAAAATGTAGGTCAGTGGGGGGGGGAAGCCACTATCAGTAAGGAATGTGCAGTACAGGGAAAAGATGTGTAACTCATTTCATTTTCATGCATTCAAAGAAATACAGGGTTTCTGTAGCCTTAACACTCTGCTTCACTGGCATTGGTGGGTGCTTATAAATCTAGAAGCAACTTTCTGATTCATCACTGGGACATTGTGTTTACTTCTTCTGGTCCAGCTATCAGTGGCAAGGATTTCACAGATCTGTCTGTTGGTTCATCATACAGTCAACATCTCTTGGTTTAACCTCTTCATCATGGAGATGGGAAAGACCACATATGCCACTCTGTGCCCTTTGGAGGAAAGAACTCCTTATAGTAAAAATAGTACTGAGATGCATTAGGTTCTGGATACAACGTCCATACAAATGGTGCATATGAATGGTTCAGAATTAGAGATGGGGGTATTTGTATTCATATACGAATACCTCCGCAACGCTATCCGCTTGTCAGCTTGGCAGGAAGACTCATCTTCCCTCCTTCTGCCAGGAGTGAATAGCTGACTGTGTGCTCCAGAGCAATTGGAAGGGAGAGTGGATGGTCTGACCCCAGAGAGCCGGACCCTCGTTACATCCAGCTGTGCAGGAATAGTCATATTTGTATATGAATATGAATACCCCCATCTCTGTTCAGAACCAATAGGAATTCCAGATCATGGAATTGTAGACCTGTAAGAGACCCCAAGAGTAATTCAATTCAAACTCCTGATGAAGTAGGAAATCCACAGCTGACAGATGGCCTGACAGATGGTCATCCAACCTCCTTGAAACAATCTTCGGTGAAGGAGAATCCATAGCCTTTAGATGTAGTCCATTGTCGAACAGCTCTTATTGTCAGGAGGTTCTTTCTAATGTTTACTCTATATCTTATTTCTTTTAATTTGAATCTGTTGTATCTGATCCTGCCCTCTAGAACCAAAGAAATGAAACTGCTTCATCTGCCATGTGACTGTCCTATATGTTCACTTGTACACAAATAAACAGAAGCCTATAAATGGTTTCTGTAAATGACAAGTGGCTAATATTTTTTCACATTAATTCTCTAAAATGACTCATCTGAATAATCTAGCCATTTTGGTACTATCTGAGGATTCGTGTCTGCTTATCACTGTCCCTACAGATGTTTGAAGGAACCGTTTCCAAATATGTGTATTTTTCCAACACTGGGTTTGGTGGACAGATCCATCAGAGACTCTTACATGGCCAAGCCATGATATTTCAGCTGCAAATATGTGAATAACAGGCAAACAGTCTCATTGAACTCATGGGGACTCAGTTCTGAACAGACTTGTGTTGCACAGTCAGGCTGCCATCCTAAACCCTTTTTCTCCTGTGTAAGCTTCATGGAACCCATGGAACCAAGCTTTGACTAAATATGTATATGAATGCAATGTCATTCGACACAGAAATGTTTATGTTCAGTTACTGAATTATTATTAATCACCATTCTTGCTTCAGATTGATCTGGGGGTAAAAACCATTGAATCTCTTGTCTTAAAAATGTCTACCCAAGGATCAAATGTGAAACATGGTGCTGAAATTTTAAACTCCCTGAGTTGGTGTACCACTACTTTTTCTTTCTATCCAATGTTCTTTATTTACCGTATTTACAGAACAATAGAAAGTCTTGATAAGCTACGAAGACTAACATGTTTTATTTGTTGTAAGCTTTGATGGACTGCAAGCCACTTCAGATTCAGCTGTTCCTTTCCCTAGAACAGATGGACAGCTATCCCATAAAATATATTCCTTTATGTTTTTCTCCATTGCCAGTTCGATTATTACAATGCTGTTCTCATTAATGAAAAGGATGAGAATGATAATTATGTGGAGCTTGGTAATGAATTCGTTCTGGAACCAAATGAGCACTTCAATAACCTGCTGGTAAACACAACGTACAGCGACATACAGCTGCCAACAAATGTCTACAACAAAGGTACAGCACTCCTGCTTTTATTCTGCTATTGAAAGGATAGTAAAGCCACAGCTGAACTAAGAAAAACAGCAAGTCAAAACACAACACAGTTGGCAACATTAGGTGCAGAGGAAGAGAAACAAAATGAGATCCTAGGCTTGTGATTTGTATGTTCTCATACCTGTGCTCTATCTGACCTTCTAGCTTGATTTCTTGATTTTCAGATTTACAAGTCTGTAAACAGAATACAAGTTCAGGGAAAGGTTATGTGCTTTGCAGGGATGTTGGCAAGTCTTTGGTCCCAAGTCTGTGTCTGAGTCTTTAGTCCCAAATCCTAAATCCCAAGTCCTAAATCTGTGTCCCTATTAAAAACAAACTTCTTTCCCTAGAAAAAAGGGAAGGGTGGGTGAGTTCCGAGTTGCAAGTTGAGGCTGAGTCATGGGGGGAGGGGGAGAGGGGAAACTGAGTCAAGTCCAGATTGAATTGATGGTGTGACTTAAATGTGACTTGACAGCAAGCCCTGTAACTTGAGTCCCCACTCCTGGTGCTTTTTGCATATAAGGGCTTAGCTGAGGATGGGGGTACCTTTCATCCTCTGGAAGTTTTGGATTTCAGCTTTTAGAACTCTCATCCAAAATGTAGATTTAATTACTTAACCCCTACTAGCAAGATGGTTGTTCATTTTATCTGGGGACTAACGCAGGGAAATGGTTGTTTGACCCCCTTCTCTGCATTCTCTCATCTGGATCTGAACCCCTCTTTCCCCACCTGCTGTCTGCTGTGTGTCTCCCTTTCTGTGCCTATGTGTGTGAAATGTAACAATCATTATACTGGATTCTGAATAACAGCTTGAGAGGCAAGGATTTAGATCAGGAAAAAGGTGCAGGGAGGAATAGCTAAACGGCTCCAATCACTGTACTTGCTCCCCTATTCAAAATAGCATGAACATAAAGGTTTGCTATACTGTATAGTTTAGTAAATTAAGTAAGGCAACAACAAGGGAGGGGAAATAACTGGGAGATAAGTCACAAGTCTCTCAGTTTAATGTGTAGTTTGGCCTCTAGATCTCAAATGCTGTTCCAGATCTCTTCACTTTAAAGCAGTGGCCCCCAACCTTGGGCCTCCAGATGTTCTTGGACTACACCTCCCAGCCTTCACCACCACTTCTGCTGGCCAGGATTTCTGGGAAAGTCAAAGAACATCTGGGCGCCCAAGGTTGGGGATCACTGCTTTAAAGGACCCCATATAGTAGGTACATGAATGACCTATGCTTAAGTCCATGGAGCATTGTTGCCAGATGAAGTAAAATGGAGAGGGGGGGTCAAACTAATTGATAGCACATAATTAGAAGCTGAAGTCCATTTGTTTTCCACTGACATTACTGCCATAGACCTTTGTGATTAAGCAATCATACTTGCAAACATAGCCCCATGCTTCCCGCCTGATAACTAATTAGCCACCCAGAGTGGCATGGTTGCCAGATGGTGTGGGTTATAAAACCAACTAACCAACCAACCAACCAACCAACCAACCAACCAACCAACCAACCAACCAACCAACCAACCAACCAACCAACCAACCAACCAATCATTCCAAGGCAAACTAGTATGTTAACTGTGTTAGAAGTCAAAAGCTTCTGTGATGATCAGATGCTTTTAGCACTCAAGGAATTCATTCTTCCAAAGATGTTTTATATATAATGTATATCTTCACCCTGGAATAGATGGATCCCTTTGTTCAGATGACATCAAACAGCTTCATGCATTTGTATATCTTATGCTTCCAGCCACTGTAACTGTAACAATGAAGTTTAAATAGAAATTGTGGCTGGAGATTTTTGGTGCATCTGTATACTCCAAGGCTTTTCATTCTTCTCTCATTTTTTAAAAAAGTATTTCTTCTGCTTTTATTCCTTTGTTTTGTCACAGACCCTGCTATTCTTAATGGGGTATATATGTCTGAAGCACTGAATCCTATTTTTGTGGACAATTTTGAAAGAGACCCAACTCTCACTTGGCAGTACTTTGGCAGTTCTACAGGATTCTTCAGGCTTTACCCAGGTAATAAAATTCATGTCTACCTGGCCTCCCCACCCCCACCCCCAAAACTTAAGGTTTGGTGTTAGGAAAACTTGTACACAGATCCAGAATCAGTTTTGTGCTGTTACTACAGAAACACAGGAAGTGGGTGAACTTAAGAGTTAACATCTCTAAACCTGCAATCCCCTAACTTTGAAACAGCCTCCCCCCTCCCCAACTCAGGAGAGCAGCATTGTTAGTGAACATGTATAGGGTATAACAGGAAATACTAACAGAATAATTAAATGGATGCCTAAATATCCTTTTTGAAATCAATGAGACCCAAATGAAGCTTACTTTCTGCTGCTTTTTTGCAGACTGAGTATGAGGGATATATGCAGTAATTATGAATTCGGTCAGATTATGAGTCTGTGTAAATGGTGACCTTTTAATACAGTTCTTCTAAACATGTTGCATTACAGATGTGTTGGATTATATAATTTCACAGGGGTCATAATGATGCCAGCTGTGGGATTATGGGAGATGTAGTCTAATACATTTGGAGAACACCAGTGTGTAAAGCCTGCTTTGGGTATTATTTCTTCTTCAGATACTTAGACTGCCCTGATCTAGTATACTTGTGTATTGGACTTCAACACGCAGTTGAAATATTTGTTTGTTTTATAAGTGTTATAAAAATGTTTTTCCCTATTGTTTGGCCAATTTATTGTGATTTAATGTTCTCTGGTTTTCTGCTTTTTGGAACAGGGGAATCATAATGTCAGTGAGAGGTTATACACTCACAAGACAAAGCAAGCTAGTTTGCAAGATACAAAGGTGTGGGAGTCTTGTTTTAGAATAAACAGAGGTTCTGTACCAGTAAAGGGAGCTCTGCTTTTAAATTCAAATTTAAAATCTTGTCTCATTTTACCCTCAGTGGATGGTAATACATACTACCTGCCCACAAAGTTCTGAAAATCTACCTGTTCTCTGAGGATTTTGGCTTAGTAATAATAATTATAATAATTTTAGAACTGCAGAGCTGGAAGGAATATGTAAATGCATTTGCTTGCAATCATTCTTTGCTTTTCTTGCTTTTCCCATCACCACAGTCCGTATTCTCTTTGTAAATTTGACTGTAAGCTGACATACGTCATGTGGTTACAAGTATATATTGATAAAGCTGTAGAAAAACGTTAATATTAGAAATTCACACCTAGGACAGCCTAAAACAGAAATCTTGGGATTATTGTACATACAACATTAGGGGAAGAGTCGTAACTAGCCCTTTTGGCAATAGAGACTTCTCTGCTCTATTCATGGATTGCTGCCTTACTCTTTCACGGATTGCAGCCTTGTCATGGCGAAGGGGCTTGAGTAATTCAGAGAAGCTATGGGCTATGCCGTGCAGGGACATAGTGAAGAGTTCCGACTAAACACATTCCACCTGGAGCAGGAACTGGCAAGCCACTCCAGTATCTTAGCCAAGACAACTCCACAAACAGAAACAAAAGGCTAAAAGATATGATACTGGAAGATGAGCCCTTCAGGTCGGAAGGCATCCAACATGCTACTGAGGAAGAGCAGAGGACAAGTACAAGTAGCTCCAGAGCTAATGAAGTGGTTGGGCCAACGCTGAAAGGATGCTCAGCTGCAGATATGCCTGGAAGTGAAATGAAAGTCTGATGCTGCAAAGAAAAATACTGCATACAAACTGGAATGTAAGATCTATAAACCTTGGTAAGCTGAATGTGGTCAAACAGGAGATGGCAAGAATAAAATGAACTAAAATGAATGGGAAAGAGTGAATTCAATTCAGACAATTATCATATCTACTACTGTGGGCAAGAATCCAGTAGAAGAAATGGAGTAGCCCTCATAGTCAATAATAGAGTAGGAAAAGCTGTATTGGGATACAATCTCAAAAATGATAGAATGATTTAAATAAGAATCCAACGCAGGCCTTTCAACATCACAGTAATCCAGGTTTATGCACCAACCACCAATGTTGAAGAGGCTGAAAGTGACCAATTCTATGAAGACTTACAACACCTTCTAGAACTGACACCAAAGAAAGATGTTCTTCTCATTATAGGGGACTGGAATGCTAATGTAGGGAGTCAAAAGATAAAAGGAACAACAGGTAAGTTTGGCATTGGAGTTCAAAACAAAGCAGGGCAAAGGCTAATACAGTTTCGACAAGAGAACAAGCTGATAATCACAAACATACTCTTTTCCAACAACACAAGAGGCGACTCTACAGATGGACATCACCAATTGGCAATACCGAAATCAGATTGATTATGTTCTCTGCAGCCAAAGATGGAGAAGCTCTATACAGTCAGCAAAAACTAGACCTGGAGCTGATTGTGGCTCTGATCCTCAGCTTCTTATACCAAAATACAAGCTTAAACTGAAGAAAGTACAAAAAACCACTGGGCTAGTCTAAACCAAATCCCTTATGAATACACAGTGGAAGTGAAGAACAGATTTAAGGAACTAGATTTGGTGTGTATATGTATGTTCGTGTGTGCTCGCACACACCAAATCAACAGCAAACTTATTTTTGGCATTTCTTCAGGGATAAAATGGACCCCCGATGAAAATGGAGTCCTTTCTTTTGACTGTAGAAATCGAGGCTGGTAAGAGATTTTGAAGAGCTTCTATACTTTTCTATTTAATTTAAATTATTCTTGAACCTTGATGTATCCTCTAGATCAGTGGTCCCCAACCTTGGGCCTCCAGATGTTCTTGGACTACAACTCCCAGAAGCCTTCACCACTACCTCTGCTGACTAAGATTTCTGGGAGTTGAACTCCAAGAACATCTGGAGGCCTAGGTTTGCTCTAGGTTTTTAAAATATCCTTTGTCTTCATTCCATACTTTAATATGAATTGAAGAGTTTTTAAAGCATCAGATATATAAGCCTTGTCATGCATCTTTTCATAGAATAATGGAGCTGGAAGAGGTCTATAAAGTCATTGAATCCAACCCCCTGCTTAATGCAGGAATCCAAATCACAGTATATCTGACAGATGTTTGTCTAATTTTCTATTGAATGACTCCAGCATTGACATGCTCACCACTTCCCAAGGTAATTGGTTCCATTGCCACACTACTCCAACAGTTAGGAAATTATTTTATTCAACCAAAACATGGTTTCCTGTAATTTAAGCCCATTATTACATTTCCTGCATTTTGAGATACTGCCCTTCCTCTGTATAACTATATTTCAAGTATTTGAACAGTGCTATCATATGTCCTCTCAATTTTCTTCTCTCAATGTTAAACATACCCAGTTCTTTCAGTATCTTATCATAGGACTTGATTTCCAGTCCACTGATCATCCTTGTTGCCCCCCTTGAACCTGCATTCTTAAAGTGCATTGTCCAGAACCAGGCACAGTACTCATATAATTTGGACATTACTGTTTAATACAGCCTTGTATTTGCCCTTGTTTGCAGCCACATCACACTGTTGGCTTATATTGAATTTATGATCCAAGGTCCTTTTTGTATGTGTTATATTGAATTTATGATTCCAAGGTCTTTTTTGTATGTGTTACTGAGCCAAGTATCCCCCATCTTGTAACTATGCATTTGTGTATTTTCCCTAGATGTAAAACTTTGCATTTATCCCCGTGAAATTTCATTCTGCTGTTTTCAGCCCATTGCTTGAACCTATCTCTTTGAATTTTGTTTCTGTTTTCCAAGGTATTATCGATTCCACCCAATTTTGTGTCATCTGATAATACATGAAAGGTTTAACAGTAAGGACAAACTAACTAGAAAGCCTACTTTATAAAATTACAAACTTTTCCCTAGTCCTTCAGTTCATATTTAATGTCCTTTTCTTCATCCAATACACAGTAGTTGTAATGGAGTGTGAAATCTGTGAACCTCCAGAAGTTCTTGGATTAGAACGCACATCATATTGAACCACTGTCCATACTACATCCATGGAGAACCACAGATTGTCACCTCTGTGCAGAAGAACCAAGATCTAATATGACACTTTTAAATATGTCTGCATTTTTGCTAGAGCTATGGAAAAATTATAAAATTTAGATTTCAGTACTATAGGCTTTCTTATATGACTCTTTTTATACTTTGTGTCCTTTAATCATTGTAGTAATTATAAATGACTGGTGTTTCAAAAGTACTTCCAATTTCAGTTGAGGTGATGCTGTTTTTCACGAACATAAGAAGCATAATAGAGGGTCAGACCACTGTGTACCTACAGTGAAAATCAGTTGCCTATGGGGCAGAGGAGCTCACCAGGGATGACAAGAGTGCCACTGTACCCTTTGTTTTGCCTATATGTAGGTATGGTGTAGCTAACCTGATTAGTAGCCATTGACACCTCCAATCTCCATGAATTTCTCTAATCCACAATTTAAGCCATCCTGGCAATCATCTATCTTGGCTACCATCACCATGGATTCTGCAGTTCATATGCTTTGGGTGAGACCACCATGCATGTGGCTGTAGTATCCACCCCTGCAGTAAGAAGGGGCAAGAATCATAAAGATGGCATCTACAAATTATTTTCTTACCTTGACAAGACAGGAGTTGTTACAAATTGGTCTCATCTTTCAGTCACTCCAATTTTAGAATTCCTTTTCTCACATGAGCTAAACTGCATAGCTCTCCTAGCATCTGTTACCTCATGGAGCAGAGCATCTCTAATAGCAATGCAAGCTTTGATGCTTTGCAGCAGTAGGCCCTGCAGACCTCAATGGGAGTAATTCCCAGGAAGATATACATAGATCTCCAGCCTTTGTAGCGCGTACTTGATTTACTGTGTCGAATGGAAAAGGAATAAATGCTTCCTCTTGACTCTTACATGTCAGGCATTCACCACTTCTTTAGGCTAGGATCATGTATTCCATCTTATGCTTGAATGTTCCTTTCACCCATTTTGCACTTCTGCTTGGTACTGTATTTATTGCTTCCCTTTCCTATTCCTTTCAAGGTACATCCAAGCCGCTACATCACCTAAAGATATAGTAATTATAGTGGATATCAGTGGAAGCATGAAGGGTTTGAGACTGACCATTGCCAAGCACACTGTTGTCACCATTTTGGACACACTGGGAGAAAATGACTTTGTCAATATCATTGCTGTGAGTATGCAGACATCTTTTCCTCCACATCCTTTTAGTGGACTTGCACAAGTCTTTTGACTTGGGCTGTGCCTCTTCACCCCTGCTTCAGTTTGCTTTTGTAAAGTCTACATTAGTTGAAAAGAAATGATTAGAGAAGCAACCATTTGAGAATTCTATTTCATATTTAGAAGGCGAGAGCTCTTTAGTTCATGCTGATGGCAATTTTGCTGCTAGTCAATTCTGGGGAGGGCCATGGCTGGGCCTTTTTAAAAGTAAGCATACATAAATTAAATATGTCCTCTTGTTTTATTAAAACTACTCTTTTGCTTGCTTTACTTTGTTTTTTCCTGCACAGAGCCATGTTTCTGGGCACACTCTGAATTTAAAAAGGCCAATATTTTCCTAGTCTTAATTTTAAAAAAATAATAATAAAAGAACAAGTTGTGTTTTTTTCGGGGAAAATTATTTTGGAATATTCAACCTCAAGATATCTGTGACTTTGTTAATCTATGCCAGAAAAGAACAGCAATTGTTAAATATAGTCCTTGCTATCAGATTAAGTTTTAAAACAGCCTTGAGTAGTGTATTTTCTCAGGAGCAAATTTTATGGGATTAAAAGACAAGTGAGCCCTCACATCCCTAACTTTAAAAAATAAAATAAAATAAACAAATAAAAACAAAAATAAAAATGGACAAAGTGGCTAAATGAACATTTAGAGATCTGAAAGGCTGGGAAAGGAGACACCTGGAATGAGAAAAGAGAGGATTATCTAAATATGGCCATGCAATGCTATTTAAAGACTTAGCACTGACCAGTTCTTCCATTTACCCCCTCCTCCATCCTGTGGCTTTCTGCCACACCAAGTAATTTCTGGCCTCTCACTGTAGCTTAATCTGTAACTAAATTTAAGCATGTGTAACTGAAACAATTGCATATTCCTTATTTGTTTTAGCAAACAAATACAGTGGTGCCTCATTTAGCGCTGTTAATCAGTGCAGAAAAATCTCTGCTAAGCAATTTCATCGCTAAGCAATTTTAAAAAGCCCATAGAAACACATTAAAACATGTTTAATGCGTTCCTATGGGCTTAAAAATTAACCTTTTGCAAAAATCCTCCATTGCGGTGGCCATTTTCGGTGCCTCTAATGTGAGGCAAAACAGCGGGTGGCCATTTTGTTTACCCGGCAGCCATTTTGGAACCGCCGATCAGCTGGCCAAAAATGGCGGCTTTGCGATGATCGCTTCCCTGCGATCATTGCAAAGCGAAATTTCCCCATAGGAGCCATCGCAAAGCGATCGCTCTTGCAATGGCAAAGAGTCCATTGCAAAGCGATTTAATCACTATACGGAGCAATCGCTATGCAAGGCACCACTGTAATTCAGACTGGTAGATAGTATCTTTCTCCTGTACTTCAGGGTCTTCTTATTCATACCCTTGCTGATTTACAGCCATTTGCTCTTTGAGATCATTTGACTGTCTTTTCCTTACTCCCCTATACAACATTGGGCCAGCGTCATTTGATTGTCCTTTGCTTGTCTGAGCATCAGTAAAAGCTATATTTTCTGAACAACCCCCTTGGATGTTGTTTCTTAATCTGGTAACCTCCAGAAGTGTTCGATTACAACTTCCAGTATCCTGAGACAACTTGGCCTTTGCTGTCAGTTGATGGGAATGCCAGGTGAAGCTACCTTTCATTAAGATAAGCTAGCTCTGATCTCAATCCAGCAGGGCAGTTTAGGCAACTACTGCCAACGTAATCCTGATTTGCAGGCCTTGATCAAGGAGTTCGTACAACCACTTCATCAGGAGCTTGAGCAAAATGTCTCCATATTCTGCAGAAATAAAGGATGATGTTCTTACATTTCCCCCACTATCTTTTAGTTTATGCATTCTTAAAGTATCTGTTAATATGTATTTTAACACTCTGAGTAGCCAAACTCCAGTTAATTATCTGGTCTGATGTTACTTTTTTTTTTGCGCCCTTCCTATCCTGCTGCCTTGGTTCATGGAAGACAGAAGTAATGCCAGACATCTCTGTCTCGTATAAATCACTTTGTAGAACTATTCTTGTTTGTTGTTTTCATAGCTTGCTTTGGGACAAAGTTGTTTGCAAGAAATTATCTGTATGTGCTCAGACCAGAGAAGACATTTGTTCTCTCTTCTTTAGTTTAGAGTTGCTGTTGCTTTTTAAAAAAAATGTTAGCACTTGAGGAGCGTTGCCTATAGTACTCCATATTAATTCTATCTTTCCAGTAACAGTGCTGTTAGGGGATGGAGAGTATCTTGAAGTAATAATGGCTAGTATCCTACCGGCGTTTGTGTACAGTCTATCTAACTTGCTGCAGGCAACTGCACCTAATTGGCAACCTGCTGGTAGGGGAGCTTAGTAGTTGTGCCTGCCTGCACAACCAAGATGCACCATAGCACTTCATCATTAGCTGTGGCAAATTATACAAACCTTCCATGAACATCAAGAGGATTCTGGACGTAAAGTGGAATATTTTCCAAACCTTTCTCTTTTCTGACCTGCTTCTAATAGAAAACAAATTGTACAAGACTACTCTAAATTGCACATGAAAAGCAATGTGGTTATCTCCACTCTTACATCTTGTATTTGCTTCCCTTAATCTAATACATCTCTACGGCAGCTGCTCCTTTGAGAAAAAGAAATCATTTGGTGTCTAGAATACTCTGTCCACAAGAATGAGACTAAATTGACTTTTGAGTATTGCAGTCTTGTTTTCCAACACTATCCTTGTATCAAATAATTGAAAATCATAGGGTTAGGTAGCATGATGATAATGTGGTCACAATGTTTATTTACTGATTTGCCCAGAATACTTTTTTCTTAGATCTTTAAGAGTCATTCACAGCAACTTATAAATATTCATACAATAAAACCATAGCTAAACAAAGTGTTAGGAATAAAACATAGTGCCTATATTGTGCCAGAATTATTTCAGACAGCATTTCTTCCATTGTCTTTTCCAGTGTTTGCCCTTTGGCCACTGCCTTTTATGAAGCAACTCTCACTGCAGAGTTCTAGGGCAATGTACTCACCCAACGCATGGTAGAAACACACCATCTCTTGCCAATAGTTGTCAGGAGTTCCTGCTAAAGTTCTCTGAGGCAGGGAAGTGAAGCTGAGCAGATACAACTTGCTCAACCATTGATGGAGGTGAATCTTCCTTTGCTGGGAGCTGAAAACTGCCAATCAATGATGCTGTGGATTTCCTCTTGTGTTTTGTTCTTCCAGTGTGGGTTGCAACCAAATGAGGAACAGTTAGAATTGTTTCTGAGAATCAGAGCCCAGTTTAGCCCAAAGACAAGGAGAGTGGGAGCAAGATTACTACATCTAAATTCTTTTTTCAGAATTCTGGTGAAGAACTGGAGGAAGGAAATCAGACAATGAAAGCCATTGCCATCCACTACTTGAATCAGTACATCCTGTTACAATTTTTGTGGGAAAGTGCCTATTATGCATCCATGACTGGATATATTTTCCAAACGCAAGGAAAAGCATTTTGTAGAATTCTACATTATAAAATGCGCTCAAAGCCATAAGAGCATTGTGGAAATGTCATGGGCTGTTCTTTATTTATGGCAATATGTGTTGTAACTCTTTTTTTAAAAAAAAATAATATGCACAATTTCCTCTTTTCTTTTTACAGTACAATGATTATGTTCATTACGTTGAATCCTGTTTTAAGGGAATCCTGGTTCAGGCTGACAGAGATAACAGAGAGGTAAGCACCAGAGAGATCATTGCTACATGCTTATATGTGGGAGCTGGCAACAAAAAAACAAGTGAATCCTAAATCAAGGAGACAGGTGATAAAAGAGAGCTGGTTAAGGACCATGAGCTCACCTACATAGCAAACATATGTTGGCTTCCTGTCAGTTCAATCTTCATGGTTTCAACAGAAAAACCATGGGATTGTAATTTAAAATCTGACAAACATAAACTGTAGTTATGAGAACAGGTTGTGGACAAGTATAAATCTCTAGCATAAGTATCCCAGTAAAGCTCCATAGACATCATACATGTAGTATCCAGGTAAGCAAAATATTGTTAGGTAAAGGTTTCCCTTGACATTTAGTCCAGTCATGTCCGGCTCTAGGGCACGGTGCTCATCCCTGTCTCCAAGCCATAGAGCCAGCGTTCATCTGGAGACAGTTTCCGTGGTCACGTAGCCAGTGCGACTAGACAAGGAATGCCGTTACCTTCCCACCATGATGGTACCTATTTATCTACTTGCATTTGCATGCTTTCGAACTGCTAGGTTGGCAGGAGCTGGGACAAGCAACAGGAGCTCACTCCGTTGCATGGATTCAAACTTACGACTGCTGGTCTTCTGACCTTGCAGCACAGATGCTTCTGCAGTTTAACCCACAGCACCACCACGTCCCTGTAATATTGTTACCTGCTTGTTTATTTCAGATATACAGTGTTATTTTGAGGACACACACATGTTTATTATATCTGTGACTCAAGGTAGCACTGCATTCATTGACAGGGACAGTATTACTCATGGATTCCTTAGGATGGAGGTAAGAAAGAAGCTGAACTGTGCAGGAACTCCATGTTAACGGAGTTTCAGTTGTTGTTCCCTTCGCCCCCATATTCTGTTGTTCCTCCTTTATCCTCTAATATGCTTCTGCTCAGCACTGTAAGAATCTCTTCTCTTCTTTATTCAGCACTTCAAGCAGCTGGTGGATGAATTACAAGCAAAAGGAGTTGGGACAGTGAACAAAGCCCTGACAGAAGCCTTCAGAATCCTGATGGAGGTAGGACATTTTGTGGACCTAGGGTGTTCCTCTTCTTAGATTATGCAGCCTTCCTTCTGAGTCCTGCAGCAGTGTGGTGATTTATGGCAGTGCACTGGAGGAGAAGGAAGATTAACAGTGATAGAAACTGTTTGTGACAGTGCCAAAAGCTGCTGGCTGAAATTGCAACAGAGAATGATGGTGAAATGCTTGGACATTGTTATTTTGGAAACACACACATACACAGAGGCACAGAGGCACAGACACACACACACAGAGGCACACACACACACACACACACACACACACACACTTATTATATGTTTGACTCAGGATAACACTGAATTGGTGTTGTCACCACAGCAGATAAAAATGGGTTATGGACATGCCTTGTAAGGTCAGACAGTAAACCATGTAGCCAAACTTCTTCAAGTATACGTGACTACAATAGGTCAGGATCTTGACATATCCAGAACTTTGTTTTCTCAGAGGTGACAGTGCTGAGTTATGTGTTGCTTTTAATGAGAACAGTTGTGCTTCCTATCTCAGTGTCAGGCCAATTCTTCAGTAGTTTCAGACTATAAAACCGTTGATTGGGTCTGCTTTCCAAATGACGGGAGAGGCCAAAAGGGCTAGAGCAAAGTCATTAGAGAGAGCAAAAATGAGAGCCATTTAATGCTAAGCCTTAAGATGACATAATCAAGCGGAATATTTTCTGTGTGTCACGTTGACACACAGAGATGAAACCCAAGCCTTGGATTCAGTGAATTGATTGAAGTAATTTGGATTGTTGTGCTTCGTAGCAGCACAGTATGATCCAGCTACATCATCATATGGTGGACAACTCTAGCAAGTAGCATTTCATCTAGGAAAAAGCAAGATAGGGAGTTAGATTTCATTAGCGCTCCTCATCATAATTACACTTAGAAAAGAGGGGGGCTATTGTGTATAAGTGATAACGGTGGTACCATCAAGTTGCAAATATATCCCACAACAACTAGTTCTTCAAATTATTGTTTTACTCGTACAAAGCTCAAGATTATTCATTTTAAGTTTGCAATTACTAGTATTTCCATTTCTTCAGTATGAAAATTGCTGCATTTACAAAACAGTGTATGGAATCCTTTTTGTGTAAATTTATGCCAAGCAACTACAGTAGATGACATAATCATTTGGTGAGAGAAATATTTAATTTAATTTAATGTAAAACATCCTATTTCCCCCTCCAAATTTAAAGGCTCCTTAGAGATCCCTTTTGCCATGGGGAAGATTTTGGGAGCCTTGGGATGTGGGGGAGCCTTTAATACTCTAAAATTGTTGCTGGAATATTGGTGTTTGTCCTGATCCTCCAGTGGTGGGACCCCAAGTGCCCATTTTATGATATGTAAACCTATATATATATATACACACACATACATCCTAAGGCTTGAGTCTTAAGGGATCTCTAGGGAATTTGGAACCTAAAGGGAAATTAAAATTTTAAATTGAATTAAAGATTTCTTTTGATGGATGACAATGTCATCTATGTTTTGTGGTGTAAATTTCATGCCAACAGGATTTCAGCCACAGTGTTATGAAAGTAGATTTCCTCTTGCAATAGAGAATTACAGTGATGCCTTGACTTAGGAACTTAATCCGTATTGGAACGGTGGCCGTAAGTCAAAACGTTCATAAGTCAAAGCAGCATTTCCCAAAGGAATGCACTGAAAACTGATTAATCCGTTCTGGCTGGGTTTTTTTTGTCCTTATGTCAAGGCACAGTTCGTAATTCAAAGCATTGGTTCGCATAGGAACTAATGCAAAGCCAGTTAATCTGTACTCTACCACTAGGGGGTAGAATTTTTTAATTTTTTCTTCTTTTGACCTAAGATGAACTTAGGTCAAAAAAGGGCAGGAAATGGGTTTTTTTTCCATTCGTAAGTCAAAGCTCCCTTTGTAACTCGAAGCAATATTCCGCATCCAAAACTGTTTGTAACTCAAAACGTTCGTAGGTCAGAGCGTTCGTCAGTCAAGGCACCACTTTATTTGATTTCAGAGGTTTTTTTTATTGAAGATGAGACCTAGGCTGGAACTACACCTTTGCAATAAACCAGGGAAGATATATTTGCAGTCTGGATCCCTTGATAATGCTTTTTGAATCATGAGATTCTTAACCAAGGTGCACTTTCGTAGAAGAACTCATGACTGAGATAAATGAGAGTTTTCAATGAGTCTTAATGAAGAGCTTCTAGATAATTCCATAATTTAACAAACATACTTAATAAATCCGTTTCTGTCCAAGTTGACTCATTTAACCCTCCTTTCTCCCAGCCATATAAATGCAAAGTTCTACACATATTTATCACTGTGTTTCCATTTTCTTTGTAGTTCAGAAGTGCTGGTCAAGGAGGCCTTTGTAACCAAGCCATCATGCTGATCACTGATGGTGCTATGGAAGATTATAAATATGTATTTGAAAAATTCAACTGGCCTGATCGAAAGGTTAGTTTCCAAGAGTTACAAACTGAAGAGAGAAAAGAAGACTGCTTAGTTTGGAATGAGTTGTAAAGCAATCTACAGAAAGTAGTCAGGAAATATTCATGTATCCAAAAAATTTTCCCATAGATGTCTTGTGGGAAGGGTCTTGCAAATCAGTAACCATAGCTGGATTTGAAAGGATCCTGGAAGGTGGTTTTGTTTTTTTAGTGCTTGTCATGAGGCCCAGCTTTGATATGGTAGATACATTTCTGCCAACAAAATGTCAAATAAAGATTTTAAAGATAAGGTTGTAAAGAGGCACTAACAAATGTCCAGATTACTAGGTTGTTTTTTGTGTATGTGTATCCCGTTGACACATGTTGGGTTTTTAGCTTGAGGAAACAGATCCTATTCAGTTGTTAGCAAATCGTGTATATTTATCAACAGTAAAAGGGAGCATTGTATCCCTGGCAATGGTGATTTTTGGATGTTTAAGATTTCTTCAATTCAAGGCCTTGTAAGGCTTCCCCAGATTGAAAGGGATAGAAGTGAGGATACTTTTAAATAAAGAAAAGGCTGTGGCTGATAACTTTATCAGCTTTACATGCATAAAACTATGCCAACAGGATTTTGCCATCGAGAGCAAAGACTCTGAAGATGAAAGCTTCTGCAGTTTGTTTGAGCTCTCCAAAAGAATCAGAATCCTGGAAAATCAAGATCTATTTGACCTTGACCCTCCTGTATATGTGTCAGATTTCTTTCCTCCTTAGTTTAAATTGCTGGTTTATGTCAATTTTTGTGGTTTCATTCAAAATTATGTTGTTATTTTTTAATATATTTATCTGTTGAGATAATGGCCATTGATAATTGTTTCTATTGTTTTGGAAACCTACTGTTATTTGATATGTTGTGAGGTGCTTTGGATACTCTTAGTGACAAAGTAGAATAGAAATAAATAGACAATGATGGTGATGAAACATGATGGATAATTGGCTGAAGGTACAGGAAGCCAGATTTTGGTTAAATAACAGGAAAAACTTCCTAACTGTTAGAGCAGTACAACAGTGGAACCAATTACATCATGAGGTGGTGAGCTCTCCAGTGCTGGAGGCATTTAAGAGAAAGATTTGGATTCCTCCACTGAACAAGGAATTTCTAAGCCTCTTTGAACTCCATTAGTCTATGATTCTATGATATGGAGAGAAAAGTAGACAACCATCTGTCAGATATCCTAAGATCTGGATTCCTGCACTGAACAAAGAATTTCTAAGCCCCTTCTAACTCCATTAGTATATGATTCTATGATATGGGACATTCACGTATATGCAGACAGCCTTCACCTGTTGCAAAAATGTGAGAACAACATGTTTTATTGGTACCAAAGAGAACAACCATATACATCTCCTTTATCCTGCATGCTCAAGCTTTTACTTCATATACTAAGTAGAGGTAACGTCTCTTGTTGGGTGGTAGAGGGTATTTAGCATGGCAGCAAGGCATTTCAGTCACATGCTTCTCCTTGGTACACATTGGTGCCCACTTGGTACACTTTGGCAATACAGTTTATTTGGCACACCAAATGCTTACAACTCAGATTTCATAGCTCATTACCAGCCTAGATCAAAACTATACACCACACAGATTTTGGAACAAGGAACAAGTTAGTGGTCCATAGTGATGGGGTTACTGCTTAAAATAGCGCTGAGCGGCTGGGCCCCTCAGAGCTATTTTGATTCAGCTGCCCATTTAGATCAACCCAATTGCATGCTTTGGTGTATGGTACATACACCATCAGTGCATTTCCATACAAGCCAGTAATGGTGTGCTGAACACTTCCTGTGCAATCTGGCCAGCCTGTGTATAAAGCTGGTTCTGACATGAAGTTGGCATCCTGACCTCTTGGCAAATGTCACAGATGATTCTTTGCACAAGACAGTTGTCCGTGCTTTCTCTGTACTGAATTGATGGGAAGGTGAAGATAACACAGAGGGTATTAATTAATATATTGAGATTGCTTAGCCTTTCCAGTTGGTAATAAAATCCAGATGGCACACGATGTAGCTAGGTCAAAACAAATTATGCTAGACCAGTCTGAGATAGTATCTTGTTGGTATGCATTGAGTAAAATATATTGACATATATTGAGCTCAGAGTGATGCACATGATGCACTACCCCATTTTATCATCATCTTAATAGCCCTCTGAGGCAAATCAGGCTGAGAAATACTGCCTGAAGTCAGTCATAGAGAAAGAAGGAGAGGTACAAAAGATTAATAGCCGTAGCTCTGGAAGTGGGGTGTTGAATGTGTTCACTGTTTTTAACATTTAATTCCAATACCTGTATTCTTGTATCATAGGTCCGGGTTTTTACGTATCTGATTGGGAGAGAAGTCAGTTTTGCACAGAATGTGAAATGGATAGCATGTAATAACAAAGGTAAATCCTTTAAGCTGTATTTAACAAAAAAGAAAAAAAGTAAAAAAAAGTTGTGGCACCTTAAAGACTAACTATATCTTTTAATGTGAGCTTTCATGGATCAGGTTCATTTATACATGGCCCCACAACCAAGTGGAGATACAGATAATAGACAAAGTGACTGTGCTGATTGTTTCCCACAAGTCATTGATCATGACAGTCCTCTGTTTTTTCAGCTGTAGCCTTTGTAGTCAGGACTGATTTGAGCCAAAGAAGCTCATTGAAAAAAGCCACAAGAAATGCAGTGGGTAAACCTACTTTGTCACCTGTACTAATTAGGTGTCAAACAAGGCAGTTTTACCTTGTTTTGTTCACTCCATCCCCCCGATTTTGGGGGGGGGGTGGAGTAAAAGAAACAAGAGTAGAAGAAACAAGGGCTGATGACTGGGATTAAGATAACTCTGTATGTCTCGTAAATATTTGAAGAGAAGGTTTAAGGTACACTGCAAGGTCAAGTATAAAATAGGACAAAATAGGACTGAATGTGTTACCCCAGATGGTGTGCACTGCAGTGTCATTAGCTTTTGTCACCAATAGTGAGAAATTAGTGTCCACCTCTTTGCAGGTTGCTGAGTTATAGAATTGTGGGAATGGACAGAAGTAGAGGAAATACTCTTAGGAATATTTCCGAATTTATATTATTTGATGCAAATGAGTAGATCTATGTATCTATTTTGTCCTAAAATTTCTATTGGCATATCATACCTTTCAACGGCCAGTCAGCATTCCATGGTGACTTATAAAAGAGGAAAATACATAAATGAACAGAATTGAAACAAAAATTAACCTTATTGCAGTCAGTGCAGATAAACTATGTATGCACGTCCTGTTGAATATTATGGCCTAACATTCTCTGGTTATTCTCCAGTGTAAACAAATTTAAGGTAATTGTGCTTAAGTGCCACAGGAAAAATGGGACTTTGGCTTGCAATTACATTCTTAATTAGGTATACCTAATGTTTTTTCAGAATTGAAACAAAAATTAACCTTATTGCAGTCAGTGCAGATAAACTATGTATGCACGTCCTGTTGAATATTATGGCCTAACATTCTCTGGTTATTCTCCAGTGTAAACAAATTTAAGGTAATTGTGCTTAAGTGCCACAGGAAAAATGGGACTTTGGCTTGCAATTACATTCTTAATTAGGTATACCTAATGTTTTTTGAGTTGGATCACATTCAGATGCGCCTTGCCTTCATTATCACAGTATTTTGTCTAGTCGATTGCTCAACGAAGCATATTTTGTGGTTGCTCTGTTGTAAAACAGCCAGTATGCACAGTGTCTGAGCTCCCATTACTTACCCAGTTTGTCAATGTTCGGTAGATACCAATTGTTCTCACCATGTGGGAATCAATTCAGTCTTAGCTCATGAAATTGGGTAAATGTTTGTAATGTCACCACAGTCTTTCAGGGACTGTGAAATTATATCTGAGAGATTCCCAAGTGAACTAAAATCAGGACTGATTAGAATCTATTGAAAAGTCCAGGTTTTCTGATATTCCCTCCAAACACAGGTTTGATTGCATACTTATACAAAGGATTATCGCATTATTTATAGGTAGAGAAGCCTTTTTCAGACCCTAGACAACCTTTATAGAATCCACAGCACTTTAGAAGAGCGAAGAACCCGAAATGTAATTCTGAAAATTAATACTACTTTGGGGGGGGGGCATTTATTTGCATAGGCTACTATACACAGATATCTACTTTGGCTGATGTTCAGGAGAATGTAATGGAATATTTGCATGTGCTGAGTCGACCCATGGTTATCAACCACGATCATGACATCATATGGACTGAAGCCTACATGGATAGTGCAGTAAGTATTCTATGATAAGCTTCCAGCTGGCAAAAGTTAAGGCAGGTGAGAATTAATGTTTTTTAGAAAATGCACATAGATTGGAAGTGGGTAGCTGCAGCAGATGGTTACTGCCCCTACCTTCTGAAAAATACCTACAGATACCATGTGTCTTGCCATGGATCTGTGTGGTGTCCTTGAAGTAGCACCATGATCCAGGTACTCAGAAGAAATTACATGGGCATTGCATGGCTTAAATAGTATCTCTGTCCTCTATGAACCCTGTAGAGACACTTTATAAAGGATTACTTACAGGAAAAGAGATTAGTTTTAGCTTAGGAAGTGGGTCATTGAGCTTCCATCCCAGTGGGGCTGTACCAAGATAGTCTGTTATCTGTTATATGGTGATAATTGACATATATTAAGGTGTCAGATATTGTTCTTAATTACAGCCAGAGACTGAAAGTTATGTATATATATTTTTTTAAAATGTGTAGTTTGTTTTAAAAATTCTGTATTTTACACAAAATACAAGGTTTTCTGCACAAATTACAGGATGTGTGTTTTTGGTGTGTACCCAGATAATAATTCCATTAATCTTTTGCAAAATAAAAATGCAAAATTGCAAAAATGAAAAAAAAAGTTTAAAAGGTACAAAAACATCTTACAGTCTCGGCTACCGGGGGGGCGGGGATTTTAAAATTTTGTAATTTCTTACTTGTGGGAATGAAATAAGCAGGTATTTACAGTCCTAGTTGCTACAGATGTCTGATCATTCTTTGCTGGCCAGCCAAACAATCTATGGTCAACGTTTTTTCTCTTACCCAATATGGTTCTAAAGAAAATAACACATCTGAAGCTGCTGTTTTTATTGGGAGACAATTCCATTGCTTAAAGAGTGATTTTAGTTAGAACCACATAGAAAAGGAGAAAGGGTTAAACTCTTATTCTTACCTGCTTTGATCCAGGCATTTATCATTCTACCCTTAAGTTACATATTTGAATTTTGAAAGAAATAAGTCTGTTAAATGCAAAGACATATTTAAGGTAACATCTAATTTGGCTTTGAAATGGCATCCAGATCCAGGCTTTTAATGCTTTGCTGCCACTGGGGCCCACAGGTTTCAAGGATGTCTAGCAGTGGATGATGGGACCTGCCAGAGGGAACCTTGTCTAGGGTCTCCTCAACTCTGAAACTGGCCTTGAAAAGATCTGTGGGCGTTTCCTAATCAAGACTTGAGATTTTCTGAGTGTTTACTAGGAGTCTGTTTTGTCAAACCAACTATGCAATTATGCAAGTTACTCTTAATTTTTTACTCTGAATTCTCTGGGTTCTCACAAAGAACTGTGCAATGGTGTTGCTCATTATTCACCTGTTTTCCCTATTCCGTTTCTGTTTGCATTTGTTGGTTTCTGCATATTATCATAGCTTGTCATTTCATCCATTCATCCATCCATGCATTCGTTAATGTGTACATTCATTTGCCATCCATATCTTTCACTAGCTGCCACAATCAGAGGAGGTAACAACCTATCCTGTGTTCTGTGACCATCCATTATTTGTTTCGTCTCAGTTTCTGTATTCTGTCTTAGTTTACTTAGATGTAGCTAAATCATACATCCAAGGAGGCAGTACAGCAACGATGGAACTGTTCAGCATGAAAAAGAAGAATATATGTATAGCTTTGGATGTATTTAAGAGGTTGTGCTGTGGTCATTTTACTGTTGTGTGGTAGCAAAGTGTATGACTTTTGGACTGATAGTCCTGTTCTGATTCTCTGCTTGGTTATGAACTTACTGGATGGACTTTATGCTGTAATCCTGTTCCAAATAATGTGGGATTAAGTCCCATTGAACTCCGTAGTGCTTGTTTCTGAGCATACGTAGAATTGTATTGCTATTCAGACCCTAGCTCTTAGCCCACTGATTGGCAATGATAATGCTGTCCTATGTTAAAGTAGTTGTAAGTATTGCAGATGTATGTAATGTGCTTTGAGTGTATAGGAAAGACTCTGTATAGATACTACTATAGTAGTAGCAGTTTTAAATGACGAAATTATTGAAAATCTCTTGACTGAATATATGTACACATGCATAGAACTATGCACATGAATGCACACACAAGTACACACCAGGAGTATACATATTGGGGCTTTATTCATTTTTGCATCATTGTTTTAGCAATCTGTATTGAGCAAATTGATGCAACTTTCCAGAATTGTATTCTTGAAGGCTTTCACAGCCGGGATCTGATGGTTGTTGTGGGTTTTTCGGGCTCTTTGGCCGTGTTCTGAAGGTTGTTCTTCCTAACGTTTCGCCAGTGTCTGTGGCCAGCATCTTCAGAGGACACGAGTATCATTTAGCCAAAGAGCCCGAAAAACCCACAACAACCATTTCCAGAATTGGTTTATCACATTGTTGAGTGATTATGATGACTGGGGTCCTGTAATCCCCATGCTGTGAAAATTTGTGATGACTCTTCTTGGCTATGCTAATAGTTCTTTGCTTGATCAAATGGGCTGCTTCTTGTCTGAGAATGTATATATGCACCTCTTTCTCTCTGCTCACCTTCACACTGTCTCTGAGAAATCTGCATCTCTCTCTCTCTCTCTCTCTCTCTCTCTCTCTCTCACACACACACACACACACACACACACACACACACAGAGAGAGAGAGAGAGAGAGATTTGTTTCTTATTTTTCATGTGAACCTTCATTTTATTATCTGTTTCAATAAAATGCCTTGTTCTCTGTAGTCCAATTTCATTCTTTCCTGTTTTTCTTAATTTATTTTTTTCTCCTATTGTGGGTGCCCCACACTGATGTGTATGAAAATGTTCATTGGTTGATTGGGCATATAATCTTCTACCTCCTTATCCCTCCCCCTCACTTTATTTGTGTATTTTTTATGTAAATATGCTTGGGATGTATTATGTATGTCACTTGCCTTAGCCATATCTTTGTGCCTCCAGATATGACATGTTAACCTGAACATACATAGGTGTCATTCCCTTTAAAGCTTCCCTTTTTTGTGTGTATTCCAGAGCATTAAATATTTCCTGCCATCTTTCACAGTCTCATTACTCACCTTGAATGGAGTTGTGTTTCTAGTATCCTCTGGGACTAGATGTTTATTAAAGTGTGCTTCAGTGTACTTTCTACTGTTACTTTCAGTGATTGGTGTCTCTTGCGTTATTAGTTCTGTGTGCTAATGTATTGCCCTTGCTGTTCTGTGTGCTAATGTATTGCTCTTTTTCTGTCTGGTAGCTCTTTGCATCTCAGGCTCAAAGTCTCTTGCTCATGACAACAGTGGCTATGCCAGTTTTCAGCAAGAAAAATGAAACGGTAAGCATGAAGCAATATCTCAGGCGATTTCCAGTCTCTGTTCAAGAAGGGGCAGGCAAAGTGTGGGCCTCCAGATGCTGCTGGATGGCGACTCCAAGAATCCTTCAACATTAGCTATACTGGCTTGGGTTGATGGGAGCTACAGTCTAACAACATCTAGAAAGTTGTACTTTGCCCTTTTGAGTTAGGAAAGCAGATATAAAAATAAAATTATGGTTGCAAAACTGAAAGCATATAATGTCTAAGCTTTAATGGCTGTCCTAGGCACACCTTCATTTCTTAAATTGATGTTCTGTCTTTGCCTACATCTCAGTACTGTTAATTTAAGAATCATGCCTTTAAAAGCATTTTAAAGGTTACATTAATCTGTCCTTTGAGATACCCTATATTCCTCTCCAGCAAATAGTGATGTCCCATAATTCTGTGATATATTGACTTCCTTTCCTAGTGTATTACTAAGTTCCTTTCCTGATTTTTCAGGGACTGATTTGAATTTTACATTATAAAGTTGCATGGATACCTAAGCATAAAACACTCAAGTTATTCATGAAATACGACAACATGCCTTTGTAAAATTTGGCGTATGTTCCATTAAAATATTAAGTCTTTTCACGTTGTCCCTTCTGGATATTTGATGGGACAAAGACTAAATTGTATAGGGGCACTTGTCTTTCACTCTCAAAGTGAAGCACCCAGCTGCAGAATTGGAAAGCCTTCCCCCAGAATCTAACAAATGTGTCCTGTCTGATATGCCCGACTCTCAAGAAGCATCCGCGAATGTGCTTTTCCTTTACAGCAAGTCATACACTCAATGAATGCCTTGTAAGGTACAGGTGTTTTTTTAGTGCTGTTGCTCTGCTAAAATTTTGGAAGTGCACTGCCAAGTTTGGGACAGCAGGCAAAAAGCACCTGTTTTGTTATGTTCCATCAGATCGCTTTTGACTTATGAGGACCCTATGAATCAATGACCTCCAAAAGATCCTATAATTAATGGATGTGCACAGGTCTTCCAAACCAAAGATGTAGCTTGCTTTACTGAGACAATACATTTCATGTTAGGCTCCCTCTTTTCCTATTGCCTTCCAGTTTTCCTAGCATTACTGTAGTTTCTAGCAAGTCTTGTTTTCCATCCAAAGATGGCAGCCTCAGTCATTTTAGCTTCTAATAAGAGTTTGAACTTGTTTTGATCTGTTATGTGCTGTCAAGTTGGAATTCGTATATTATGATCCTAATAGGGCTTTCAAAATAATTAAGATATTTAAGGGGTGGCTTTATCCATTCCACCACCACCCCAGTGAGTTTCCATGGCTGAACTGGGATTTGAACTCAGGTCTCCAGGATCCTAGTCTGTCACTCAGCTTATTTGTCTTTCTAACTATCCATCATGGTATCAGTGAAGCTCTCCTCCAATACCACCTTATAAATTATTATTTTTTCTCTGTCAGCAAGGTGATTTAAACAGGCTCTTAATTTCTCAGCACCTAGCATTCCGAATAACAGCGCTGTAACTACTCTTCTCTTCTCATTCATATTCCACAGTCACATCTATTTCTTTCTTAGTTGTGCTTTAATCCTTCAGTGGCTTCTCAGACAGATATTTTATTTTTGTGGGTCCTAAATTCTGTAACTTATTCTGACAGTAGCCATGTGTTGGTCAACCCTGGCCTGTTTCTCTTCAGAATTGAAACTGCACCAAAAGCCATTACCTTTTCATCAGCCTTATAGTTGTCTTAGTTTTAATATTATCTTAGTCTGTGATCTAATGCACACTTGGGAGCAAGAGCGTAATACCTGGCAGTGCACAAATGGGTCATAGCGATGGTTGTTGTGGGTTTTTCAGGCTCTTTGGCCATGTTCTGAAGGTTGTTCTTCCTGACGTTTCGCCAGTCTCTGTGGCCAGCATCTTCAGAGGACTGGAGTAGGAACTCTGTCCATGCTTTGTTGCTGTTTGTTAGATAGTTGAATATTTATAGCTGTGGGAACAGCTTTTGTCCTATTCAGGAGATAGGGTGATGATGGTGATCAAAATGTTTTTGTTGTGGATGTATTGTTGTGATAAAAGGGAGAGATTATCTGTCACTGTGATTGATGGGTGTCTTTAGCTGGTCTTTTTTGTGCAATGATCCCTGGTCCTTGTGGCTGGGTAGAGTGCATTGAGCTTTTGCAGACTGTTTTTTTCCAGTGCTGGGGGCCAGGCCTTATTAAGTTTTAGACTTTCCTCTTTTTAGGAACCTCTTTTTAGAAACTTTTTAGACTCCCTAAAGGGTCATAGCGACTTTAACCCTCAGAGAATGGAGAAATGTTGCCAGTTTTCATTTCTCTTTTATTTTGCAGAGATCCCATGGCATTCTCCTAGGTGTGGTAGGCTCAGATGTTCCTCTGAGAGAACTCCTCAAGCTTGCTCCACGATACAAGGTAAGAACTGAGATCAGGCTATCCAGTCATTGCAAAGTCTGAGCATCTCGAAGGAAGGCTCCATTGTGATGACAAAGCCACTTCAGAGAATGCAGCACCTGTTCACACAGTGTACAGCAAAAGATGTGGAGGTTTTCATTAGCATAAGGCAGAATTAGGCTAGTAGTTCAAGCTTCCATACTACAGAATGGCATCTATGGCCTGTTCACAGTGCCCTGTTATGGTATCGGTACTGGTGTCTCTCCATTCTTCCTTCAAAGGAGAAATTTGGTTTCCAAACACACATCTCACTCTAATGTCCCTGTATTTGTGTGATCAAACATGAGGTTTGAAATTTAGGAGCCAGAGCCAATCTTTGTTTTGTACTTAATTTGTGGTCATGAGCCACAAAGTGAATATAATTTCTGGGATGCTTGTCACAGCTTATTTCAGCATTCTGTAAGAGTGGCCAAACAAATGCCATAGGAAAGGTTTAAAAAAAGCAGGAGGCTATGAGGATAATAGCATTACACAGTGAGGTGATTACAATTGTGTTTCAGTGGAAATTTTCTGATTGGCTCTAAGTTCTTCAGCAACCATTTTGGTTGCTGCATTCTAGTAGACAGCAGCCTCCTCCTCCTCCTCCTCCTCCTTCTTCATTATTTGCTTGCGACCAAAACAAGTGTTTGAAATTTCAAATGTGTCCACAGGGCAAAAAAAGGTAAGGGGATGGTGCTTGGATTAATAGGCATTGTAGCTAAATGCTCCATATATTGAGGCAATTTAATTCAGAAGACAATGGCAGCTGTTTTGTTATGTTCCTGTTACAAGAACTTATACAACAAAGGCACTTCCTGCATTCTTTTATCAGTACATCAAATTGAGGGAAAGACACTGCTGCATGGCTGAGAAAACACAGGCAGCTTAAATAATTTACATTTTTAAATGAAGCCCTCTTGGGTCCTATTAGGGAGAAATGTGGGGTAAAAGTATTTTAAAGAAATAAATACATACATATTGATAATAATAAGGATCATAGTAGTGACTTTCTTGTTTTGCCTTTCATAGCTAGGAAAGTTCACAAATACAGGAAGAAAAGTAGCTCTACCTCTAAATGGGAAAAATGTGTGAGAAGGCCCATTTCCTTTGCTATTCAAATATGAAAAATGCTGCACCTCAGGGATTTGTCCGCCCATAAACATGTGGGTGTATATGTGTGCACAAATGATTCCTTGCCATAGTTTTCCTGCAGAGAGCAAGAACATTAAGGTATTTGGGGACTGGAATAAGAATTGACTGGACTTGTTAGGTGCATTTTATGTTTTCAATTTCTTTTATGGTTCCTTGGAGAAGGACTATAACTCAATGAAAGAGCACATTCCTTGCGTGCAAAAGGTCCCAGATTCAATAAAAGGTTTTTTAATGCCTGTAGTTGAAATAAAAAGGTTCATATAGCAGATGCCTAAAATTGCAAAAGTCTTTGTCAGTCAAACTAGGCAGTGCTGGACTTGACTGGCAAATTGTTTTACCTCGAGGTAGCTTGCAGTTTTTCAAAAATCTGCCTGCTTCTTCAAATGTTGAACATTTCCCTTAGTGTTCTTGCTTCTTCTATATTATCAATGGATTACGTCAAGTTAAAGACTGAACATTCTGATTTCACTCATGATCACAGTGCAGCATGGGCCTTGTAATTTTAGAGGGCTTTTGTAGCTGAGGAAGTAAGGATGTAATTAGATGGGCATTTAGCCCACTTTTTGATCTGCTGTGGGGAGGAGTTAGTTTGCTCACTTTTCCTGCAATTGGGCAATATAACCACTGAAATGAAACAAAACAACCCCCCCCCCCGAGCATTCATAGCCACACCTTTCTGAACCCTTCTCATAAGATTTTTAGGTGTGAGATTGCTCCTGTCTGGTCCATTTCCAATGTGTGTGAGTGCTGGGAACAGCCAAAAGTGAGCCTTTTGGCTGTCAAAGGTCCTTCCAGTTGGAATTTCTGATACTGTATCACCAAGTGGTCTAGCTACGTCAAGTGCTGTCAAAGGTCCTTCCAGTTGGAATTTCCAGTATCACAAAGTGGTCTAGCTACGTCAAGGTACTGGCAAATTGAACACTTCCTCTGCTCCTCAGCAGAAGGGCAGAGGAAGTAAGTTTTTTTCCAGACTGCAATAGACCATTTTTGATGCTCTGCCCTAGTTTTAATTTTTTTAAATTCTTTGCCTTGTCTGGTCAGGAAACTGCCTACAGCCAAATCCAGTTTTCCTTTTGCCATATAGTTAATATGTTGTGAAGATACAGAATGTTGCAGGCAAGAAGTTTGAAACATTGTAAGTATCTATTTTGATGCAAAGATGTCTAAATAAGGTGAAGATTCATAATACCTAGTCACATAAACTGCCTTCTCAGAAGCGTTCCAGTTTCTTGTAAGGCCATAAAATATTCTTGAATGATCCAAAAGTGATAAGACTACTATATTGTCCTCACATTCATTTATTTAAAAAATGAAATAACTAGAACCTGTATTAGTGTCTTATTTTTCTAATTAAAAATGATGTTATGAACTCTAGTCATTAGGAATCCAGTATTGTACAACCGATTCTTTCCCCTTTCTTGTTATATTAAAATGAATGTCAAGGAAATAAACCTAATTAATATAATGCATTTTATTTACAGCTGGGTGTCCATGGATATGCATTTCTAAACACTAATAATGGCTACATTTTGTCTCACCCGGACCTTCGCCCACTGGTAAGCGATGCACGGATATAGTCCTCGTTTTTTTTAAATTTGATTCTTTCTGATCTTTTTCATGTTTTGTGCCTTTGTAGAATCTTCAAATGATTCAGATACACCCAGCAATCCTACTTACTGAGGTGGTGGTGGTGCAGAAAGCTACATTAGAGTCATTCCTGTATCCAGAGCCCTGGTGGGTCACAAAGTAGAGGGTGGGCAGTGTAGGTACCCCATCCCACTTTCTGTCTTGATGTTATTCCATGTAATTGTCTCTCCTGTCAACTCCAGTGTAAACTAAAGATACTCATGCTAACTCTAGGTTGGTGTAGGTATGGAGCTTTTCAGGGGGAGCAGAGGGGTTTGGATCCAGAGAATTCAAGCCACCGGGACCTATCTCAGAAACACAACTGCTAGGCCTCCTGCGGCTCCAGTGCTTTCTAAAGGACTCTTGGTGTCATCCAGGGCAGATGCACCACCCCTCTGACAGAGCCCCTTTCTGTCAACAGAAAATCATCTACTCTCCGTCATATAACGCCCCTTCT